TACCTTTGTAAACAATTAGTTAATATTATTGATTTAGGAGATATACTCACAAAAGTAGCTATATAACAGGCATATGTAATCCAAAAATGAATCATACGATAAGGAGACACGTCCCATCAGAAGGGGATACTCTCAGAGTGACCTGACGCGTTTCGAAGGGGGGTCCCTTATTCATCAGAGCTAACCAGACTGAGAACACCCTCCTCTATATATAGTCAGTACCTATGTGTGAGCCTTCCCAATGGGTGGGACAAACACATCCTAAGAGGTGGGGCCAATGTGTCACAAGAAAGATATAAATATAAACATATATGCAAAAAACATAGAAATGTATGTAGACATGAAATTAGAATAAAAATAAATAGATACAATTGTAGATATGACAACCAATAAAAACATGCTAAAAAGATGACAAAATTATGTACGTATACTCGATACTAAAATTAATTCAAATGTGACTATAATTATATGTACATACTAAATAAAAAGGAGTATATGAAAGGTGAACATCCAAAAGTCATGCCTAGTATATAGGTGCCATAAAAATTCAAGTTCAAATTCAAATTGATTATAGCAAAGGTAATAAATGCCCTGAATAAAATATTATATTATTATTACCTTAAAGTTGTAAAAAGAGTCACAGGATCACTTGTATAGTGGTTTATATTGATTTCTAATAAAACCATGTAGAAAGGACTTTAAAAAGCTATCAGCAATGACATTGTGAAGTTTTCTATTTTAGTTTGGTCAGCTAGTAACTGGAAGCCATTCTGGCAAAGTGTGTTGTTCCATGTGTCACATTTGCAAAATGGCAGTGCAGAGAGGAATTTAAAGTGCAGAGTTAGTTCAGGTGGCGGTGGAATGCACGCCGGCATCTGAGACCCTTCTGCACATGCGCGTTGCATTCCATTTTGACAAAGAGATCGTAACAAGAGGAATGGCCCATTTCCGCGCATGTAAACTACCCTCCGTGCACTGTTCAATGCCGCTCGTGTGAGAGTCAGAGGGGAGAGAAGAAGCCGCGGCTGCGCACAGCCTCAGGCTATTAGGAGCCGACTCACACGGGATCGGGGAACACAGAGACATGGGTCTCTGTTCGATCCGCTAAATGAGGGGGGAAGGAAAGAAAAAATAGTAATACTAAAATGGAGTTAAGGTCTCTAGCCTATATTGAATAAAAAGTGGTAATAATGGGCAAACCAAGGGAAGAGAGGGGACATAATTTGTGATCAATAATGAGTGCTGGCTGTAAATTAATAAATAAATTAATTAATAAATACATAATTAGTGGCTGAAGAACCAGTACATTCTGAAACAGAGATAAGTGAAATAAATACAATAAAAATAAAAAATAAGAATCAGAGAATTACTACAGATATTGAAAATATAAAAGATACTTAAAATGATGGGACAATATAGAACTGAGTATAAAAATGAAGTACCGTATTTTCCAGCGTATAAGACGACTGGGCGTATAAGACGACCCCCTACTTTTCCTGTTAAAATACAGGGTTTGAGCTATACTCGCCGTATAAGACTACCCCTCTTCCAACGCACACCAAATAAAAATGAAAAAACATCAGATTTGATTTCAATATGGTATGCTATTTCAATATGGTATTCCAATGATGGGGTGCTATTCCTCCCACTGACACCAATGATGAGGCACTACTCCTCCCACTGACACCAATGATGGGGCACTATTTCATCCACTGACACCAATGATGGGGCACTATTCCTCCCACTGATACCAATGATGGGACACTATTCCTCCCACTGACACCAATGATGGTGCCCCATCATTAGTGTCAGTGTGTGAGGAATAGTGCCCCATGATTAGTCAGTGGGAGGAATAGTGCCCCATCATTAGTCAGTGGGAGGAATAGTGCCCCATCATTGGTGTCAGTGGGAAGAATCGTGCCCCATCATTGGTGTCAGTGGGAGGAATAGTGTCCCATCATTAGTGTCAGTGGGAGGAATAGTGTCCCATCGTTGGTGTCAGTGGGAGGAATAGTGCTCCATCATTGGTGTCAGTGGGAGGAATAATGCCCCATCGTTGGTATCAGTGGGGAGAATAGTGCCCCATCATTGGTATCAGTGGGAGGAATAGTGCCTCATCGTTGGTATCAGTGAGAGGAATAGTGCCCCATCATTGGTGTCAGTGGAGGAATAGTGCCCCATCGTTGGTATCAGTGGGAGGAATAGTGCCCCATCGTTGGTGTCAGTGGGGGAGGAACAGTGCCCCATCATTGGTATCAGTGGGGAGAATAGTGCCCCATCATTGGTGTCAGTGGGGAGGAGGAATAGTGCCCCATCATTGGTATCAGTGGGGAGAACAGTGCCTCATTGTTGGTGTCAGTGGGGGAGCAACAGTGCCTCATCGTTGGTGTCAGTGGGGGAGGAACAGTGCCTCATCGTTGGAGTCAGTGGGGGAGGAACAGTGCCTCATCGTTGGTGTCAGTGTGGAGGAGGAATAGTGCCCCATCGTTAGTGTCAGTGGGGGAGAGGAGCGGCTGCTCCTTCTTCCAGTGCGGCCGCTCGATTTTCGCGGGGCCGCTCGGCTCCGCCTCCTCACCGGTGATTGGTCGCCTGTGTGCCTTTCCAGTGCTGGCGCCCAATCACCGGTGAGGAGGCGGAGCCGAGCGGCCGCGTGACCATCGAGCGGTCGAACTGAAAGAAGGAGCAGCTGCGCTTCCTGGACCGGATCGTCGTGGGACCGGAGCCAGGTAAGGTACAGCAGCCCCTCTGCCCACCCCTGTACTTAGTGTCCGTTGGAGGAGGAGGGGGGGCGGCGCCGCGCCGCCCCTCGAATAAGTGCCGCCCTGACACCGGCTCGCACCGGCGTATAAGACGACCCCCGACTTTTCAGAAGATTTTCAGGGGTTGAAAAGTCGTCTTATACGCCGGAAATACGGTATCTAAAAATTAGGTGATAAAATAGCGTAAGGAGTCCTTCCTGTATACAGTATGTGAAATGCTAAATAAAAATTCTCATGAAGACTATACCAAGGTGTGTGTTTCTAGATCATCATTCAAACCCCTAGGGGATAAAGTGTCTAATGTAAAAATCCAAAAGCTCTCTCTCCTGTAGACTCTTTGGTGTTTCCTGCCATTATCCAGATCTTTCACTATGGTCTCTACACCAAAGACTGATTCCACAGTAGTTAACCTGGTGGACTTCTTTAAAGTGACGAGGGAGTGAATATTTATCTTAGCAATTCTTAATATTACTTTTTTGCTCGCTGATACGAACTCTCAGGGGGCGAGAACTGCGGCCTATATAGAGTAAGCCACATGGGCACATAAGACCATACACAACGAATGACGTTCCACAGTTGATAAACTGTTTAATGGCATATTTCTTGCCATCAGACCCGGTAATGTCACGCTTGTGATGCCAGATGAACTCTCAAGTGCCACAGTTGGGAACGCCACATTTATAGTTGCCTTTTTGATCAAAGAAGCCATACTATGTACCTGAAACCAATTTTGGGAGGCGTATGGACTTTCGAAGCCTAACAGGGGCTAGAATACTTCTAAGGTCTCTGGGTTTCCTAAAGATCAAACAAGGTTTCTCTGGGAGCGAGTCGCCCAGGGTGGGATCATTCTTAAGGATGTGCCAATTTTTGGAAAGGATCTGTTTGATGGCCCAAGATCTGTTATTAAATTTAGAACAGAACTGTATTTCCATGAAACCACCATTACTTTCGTGGCTCAGGGATTTTGAACAGGTGGTCTGGTCTGTAGAATAGTTATCATACATACGTATATATTTATTGAATGCTGTCTCGATGTGCGTGCTGTCATAGCCCTTCTCCTTAAATTTATTTTTAAGAATTGAACTTTGTTCAATGTAGTCCTGTTTTAAAGTGCATGTGCGTCTTAATCGGCAGAATTGCCCATATGGGACATTCCTAATCCACTGTGGGTGATAATTACTTCTTGCGTGTAAGTAAGAGTTCCCAGCTGTGGGTTTAAAGTGCGTTTTGGAGCAGACATGTCCACTGTTATCTTGGTTTAATTTGAGATCTAAGAATACTAGTTTGTTTTCATCTATCACACGGGTGAAAGAAATTGCATATGGGTTATTGTCACAATGATTCAGAAACCCTTGTAACTGAAGATCAGTGCCATTCCATATAATTATAATGTCATCTATATAGCGAGCATATAAAATGAGATTTCACTATAGGGATTGTTAACTCAGATATCGTGGTTTTCCCAATAGCCCATAAATAAGTTTGCATAGCTGGGAGCAAATATGGCTCCCATAGCTGTGCCTTGGATTTGTCTATAATGGGTGTCCAGAAATGAATAGTGATTGTGTTTTAAGGCAAATTCTATACAGGTAAAGAGAAATTGGGCTTGTGTGCAATGGAAAGGTAAATCCTTGGCTAGAAAATACTGTATTGCTCTAAGGCCATATTCATGCTTTATGGAAGTGTAGATTTACTACCATAAAGATAACGGCAATAGAGGGCCTTTATTCCACAAAGACGGAATATCTAAAAATCACTCTCCATATAAATACAAAACTGCTGAAATCAGTCAGGGTTTCCCTAAAAATACTGTACTCCCTACTATCACAGACTCCACTGAGTTTGTCTCCATCATTGTCATAGACATCAAGAGTCAGGACAGTTCCAGCAACACTGAAAATAAAAGTAGAAATCATTTTTAACCACCTTCCACCCGCCATATAGTACAATGACTGGCGCAAGGTGGTTCTCTCATTCTCATATGACGTCCTTCCATTCTCACTGCGCATACGTGGCTCAGGGAGCGCACAGCGTGCGATCGCCGGTGCGCCGTGTCCCTCGGACACAGCGGATCACGGAAAGAGCCGAAGATGTCTGCTCGGTCATGTGATCAGCTATGTCCAATCACAGCTGATCACATGTAAACATGGAAATGTCGGTTATCGGCATGTCTCTCCTCTCGAGCTGTCATGCTGACAGTTCGAGAGGAGAGGAGAGCCGGTAATCGGCTTTCCGCGGAGGGAACATGTACACTGATCATCAGTGTGGCCCCAGAAGTGCCACCTGTCAGTGTCCATCAGTGCCCATCAGTGCCACGTGCCAGTGCCCATCAGTGCCACATCAATGCCACATATCAGTGCCTACCAGTGCACATCAATGCCACATATCAGTGCCCATCTGAGCTGCCTTTCAGTGCCACCTATCAGTGCTGCCAATCAGTGCCAGTCAGTGCCATGTATCAGTGCTGCCTTTAAGTTCCCATCAGTGATGCCTGTCAATGCCCATTAGTGCAACCTACCAGTGCCTCCTCATCAGTGCCACCTATCAGTGTCCATCAGTGCAGCCTATCAGTGCCCATCACTGCAGCCTCATTAGCGCACATCAGTGAAGGAGAAAATCACTTATTTACAAAATTGTATAACAAAAACTAAGAAAAAAAAACGTTTTTTTTTCAAAATTTTCAGTGGTTTTTGGTTTGTTTAAGAAAAAATAAAAACCCCAGAGGTGATTAAATACCACCAAAAGAAAGCTCTGTCTAAAAAAAAAAGATAAAAATTTCATATAGGTACAGTGTTGCATGACCGCGCAATTGTCATTCAAAGTGTGACAGCGCTGAAAGCAGGAAATTGGCCTGGGCAGGAAGGGGGTATAAGTACCCTGTAGGCTAGTGGTTAAAGGAGAGGGCTGCGAACAATCCATCATCAGTAGCCTCAGCAGGCAAAACACCCTCATCCACCAGCCAAAAAAAGAAAGAGATTAAGTGTACAAGAAGAGGAAGGAGAGGGGGCAAGAGATATCAAAAGAGGAAGGAAAATACCATGACTTCCTCTTTGTCCACCATTAGATCTAGAACTTGTCACGTTCTACATGTTCAGATATGGAGTTAGAACTCCTTCAAAAGGGACTCAACTTTGCACCTCCTAATCCTCCTAACTTATTCAAACTACTTATTGATTTGAATAAATTTGTTTGAAACCTAAGAGATACGTTTTATTGAAAAAAAACCCACCAGTGATACTGATGCTAACCTTAATCTTCCCTCCATATCTTCACTGAGCGACCCACTAGAAACATAGATATTGGAAAATTTATATACAGAAGGTGCATCGATTGATAATGATTCTGAGAATCTTATCCCAACTGAGACAATTAAGGCGTCTCAAATGGAGGTCTTACATACTAGTTTCAAGCCCAAGTCTACCTTTTACCCACTCTGGATTAAAGGTCATTTTATTCCTACATTTTATTAGACGGTTTTAAAAGAATTCAGGAAAATATGTAATACAAATGAATTGAAACAAAATGTTTATACACTACAAGACCCCCTGTCTGACCCCCTGAAGTTGCTAAAAAGATAAGAAAGACATAGTTCTCAGGAAAGCAGATAAAGATGGTGGTTTAGTGATCCAAGACCGTGAGGTCTATGTTACTTAACGATCAGGATACGTATGAAATCCTTCCTATGGATCATATAGTACAATATCAAGAAGAACTTAAAATACTGCTAGAAAATACTTAACAAAGATCAATTCCTCTTTCTATCCATTAAATATCTAGCTACCCCCTTTTTCTTCCACATCCCAAAAATCCACAAAGATAAATAAACCGGTATTGCTAGTCTTACGAGCAATCTCAGCTGCTATACTGACCATTTCCTGAAAGAGATTGTGGTTAATCTTTCATCTTATGTTAAAGACTCCAACCACATACTTGAGATACTATCTGAGTATACGTGGCAACAGGGATATAGATCTTTGGATGTAGTGTCACTCTTCACTTCCATAAAGCATGACTATGGCCTTAGAGCAATACAGTATTTTCTAGCCAAGGATTTACCATTTCATTACACGCAAGCCCAATTTCTCTTTACCTGTATAGAATTTGCCTTATAACACAATCGCTCCTTATTTCTGACACCCATTATAGACAAATCCAAGGCACAGCTATGGGAGCCAGATTTGCTCCCAGCTATGTGAACTTATTTATGGGCTATTGGGAAAACTACTATATCTGGGTTAACAATCCCTATAGCGAAAATCTCATTTTATATGCTCGGTAGATAGATGACATTATAATTATTTGGAATGGCACTGATCTTCAGTTACAAGGATTTCAGAATCATTGTGACAATTAGCCGAACACAATTTCTTTCACCCATGTGATAGATGTACTGTAAACCAGCTAGTATTCCTAGATCTCAAACTAAACCAAGATAACAGTGGACATGTCTGCTCTAAAACGCACTTTAAACCCACAGCTGGGAACTCTTACTTACATGCAAGAAGTAATTATCACCCACAGTGGATTAGGATAGTCCCATATGGGCAATTCTGCCGGTTAAGACGCACATGCACTTTAAAACAGGAATACATTGAACAAAGTTCAATTCTTAAAAATAAATTTAAAGAGACGGGCTATGACAACACGCACATCGAGACAGCATTCAATAAATATTTACGTATGTACAATAACTATTCTACAAAACAGACCGCCTGTTCAAAATTCCTGAGTCACGACAGTAATGGTGGTTTAATGGAAATACGGTTCTGTTCTATATCGAATAACTGATCTTGGGCCATCAAACAGATCCTTTTGAAAAATTGGCACATCCTTAAGAATGATCCCACCCTGGGCGACTCGCTCCCAGAGAAACCTTGTTTGATCTTTAGGAAACCCAGAGACCTTAGAAGTATTCTAGCCCCTAGTAGGCTTTGAAAGTCCATAAGCCTCCCAAAATCAGTTTCAGGTACATAGTCTGGCTTATTTGATCAAAAAGGCAACTATAAATGTGGTGTTCCCAACTGTGGCACTTGCGAGTTCACCTGGCATCACAAGCATGACATTACCGGGTCTGATGGCAAGAAATATGCCATTAAACAGTTTATCAACTGTGGAACGTCATTCGTTGTGTATGGTCTTACTCTATATAGGCTGCACTTCTCGTCCCCTGAGAGTTCGTATCAGCGAGCACAAAAATAAGATTAAGAATTGCAAAGATGAATATTCAGTCCCTCGTCACTTTAAAGAAGTCCACCAGGGTAACTACTGTGGAATCAGAGTCTTTGGTGTAGAGGCCATACCGAAAGATCTGGATAATGGCAGGAGACACCAAAGAGTCTGCATGAGAGAGAGAGCTGTTGGATTTTTACATTAGACACTTTATCCCCTAGGGGTTTGAATGATGATCTAGAAACACACACCTTGGTATAGTCTTTATGAGAATTTTTATTTAGCATTTCAGGTACTGTATGGACAACATAGAAGGACTCCTTATGCTATTTTATCACCTAATTTTTAGATACTTAATTTTTATACTCAGTTCTATGTTGTCCATCATTTTAAGTATCCTTTATATTTTCAATATCTGTAGTAGTTCTCTGATTCTTATTTTTTATTTATTTATTTTTATTTATTTTATTTTATTCATTTATCTCTGTTTCTGGCAGTTGTGATAGACTCAGAATGTACTGGTTCTTCAGCCACTAATTATGTATTTATAAATTAATTTATTTATTAATTTACAGCCAGCACTCATCATTGATTAATCACAATTTATGTCCCCTCTCTATCCTCGGTTTGTCCATTATTACCACTTTCGATTTAATATAGGCTAGAGACCTTAATTCCATTTTAGTATTAGTATTACTATTTTTTCTTTCCTTCCCCCCTCATTTAGGGGATCGAACAGAGATCCTTGTCTCTGTGTTCCCCGGTCCCGTGTGAGTCGGCTCTTACTAGCCTGAGGCTTTGCACAGCCGCGGCTTCTTCTCTCCCCTCTGACTCTCACACGAGCGGCGTTGAACAGTGCCTGGAGGGTAGTGCGCATACGCGGAAATGGGCCATTCCTCTTGTTACGATCTCTGTCAAAATGGCGGCTGGAATGCATTGCGCATGCGCAGAAGGGTCTCAGATGCCAGCATGCATTCCACCACCTCTGACCAAACTCTGCAGTTTCCTCTCTCCAAAAGCCATTTTGCAAATGTGACACATGGAACAACACACTTTGCCAGAATGGCTTCCAGTTACTAGCTGCCCGATCTAAAGTAGTAGAAAACTTCAAAATGTCATTGCTGAGAGCTTTTAAAAGTCTTTTCTACATGGTTTTAATAGAAATCAAAATTAATCACTATACAAGTGATCCTGTGACTCTTTTTACAACTTTAAGGTAGTAATAATATATTTTGTTCAGGTCATTTATTACCTTTGCAATAATCAAATTTTTATGGTACCTATGGACTGGGCATGGCTTTTGGATGTTCACCTTTCATATACTCCTTTTTATTTAGTATGTACATATAATTATAGTCACTTTTGAATGAATTTTAGTATCAAGTATATGTGCATAATTTTGTCATCTTTTTAGCATGTTTTTATTGGTAGTCATATATCTACAATTGTATCTATTTATTTTTATTCTAATTTGATGTCTACATACATTTCTATGTTTTTTGCATACTGTATATATTTATATCTTTGCTGTGACACGTTGGCCCCATCTCTTAGGATGTGTTTTTGCCACCCGTTTGTGAGCCACACATAGATACTGACTATATATAGAGGAGTGTGTTCTCAGTCTGTTAGCTCTGATGAAGAAGGCACCCCCCTTTGAAACGCGTCAGTGTCTCCCCTTCATATGGCATTCGCACGTGTCTCCTTATCGTATGATTCCTTTTTGGATTATATATGCCTGTTATAGTGCTACTTTTGTGAGTATATCTCCTAAATCAATAAATTAACTAATCGTTTACTAAGGTAATGCGGAAGGTTGGTGCGCTCTGTTTTTATTTTCTACTACAGTCCCAATACTTTTGGCAGTATAGTGTATATATATTGTACATTCACATACACACACAGTAAATATTATTTGCAACTACTTCCCTCCAGTGTTTCTATATTAATTTATTTTTCTTTTCATTTAGATTGTTTGAATGGTCTCCTGATACTTTTTATTGTGGGCAGGCTGTAACGATAAAAAAAGATGTGTCATTTTCCGGCTCTAAGAAGATATTGCACTGTACTCTGTTCTCTCAGAAGGTGTTGAGCCCATGTTATCACTCACCATAACAGCTTGATGTTATATATTAACAGTAAATCTTATAAAAGGTTTAGAAATAATGGGGCGAAAAGAAAAATTTATTGCTAAACTGAAATTGTAAGTTAAAGTTCTGCCTGCAAAGGAAGATAGTGGATAGAGTTCCTGCTGTGTGTACCACCAAATGCCACTTCACTGAAGAGAAATCTCCTCGAAGTCTCTTCAAAAAAATTATACTTAGTTTACTTAGTAGTGCTTTCCTGGCCCCTGTTGTGCTCATTGGTACCCACTGTTGACCTTTGTCATTGTGTTCTGTACTGATGTAGAGATCAGAGAGAGGAACCAATGAATGCAGTGGGAGACCAGAAAAATGGTACTCTCAAAAGTAA